AAAACATAGCTAAAACATTAACAAAATGTTATAAGAATATAGCAAAGTTTACTTGTGACAAGGTTTTCAAAAGCATGCTTTAGTAGAGATGAAAAGAAATCACATTAATATTTGAGGTATAGTTTCATTTCAAAAAATGTCTGTAGAAATGGCATGGTTTTTTTTTTTCCTTAAAGCATGGATCAAAATTAGGTTGGATTACAAGCAAAAGGATGCTTTCTGTGGTCCTTTCCTTGCCAGTCCTGAAATTTATATCTAGTGTTTGAAAATCATACGGTGCACTTCCAGATTCTGCATAGATGCCAAGATTCAGTGTTTCTCAACTGGAAATTTGGTTTATTTGTCACGGGATGATACCGGCGTCAGAATACAATTGCCATTTACAGTGAGTAGTCAAAGGATAAAATTCACAATATTTGTCATTTTATTGAAAGTCGTGTTATCATTTATATCATGACAAAACTAATGAAAATGCTTGTTGCAATCTGGTGTATTTTATTCCAATTTTGTAGTGAACTGTTGACATTATAGGCTGCATAGCCATAAAGAAATTAATGTATTCCTACATCAGTTAATTGTATCAAATATAGAGATTCAAAATATCTTTCAGATTATGCCAGCATTAAAACTGCATACCCTTCGGGAACAGTATTTGCACCTGAGCATCTAAGAAGAACATGCAAAAACCATCATTCACATATTGTTTTCTTTTATTCATTAAGAAACTGAATGTTAGGCAATCATTACTGAAAGGCACTTTTTTGGCAGATGCCTGGAAATCAGTGCCTGTGAAAAGCTGTGGAGAATTTATAGGGGGCTTTTCCTAGGTGAACATAAAGTGTTTACCTTAATCAGGTTGTTTTAGATTATTAGGAGCAAGAGGTCTCACCAAAAAGACAGCTACTGACAGAGCTATTGATAAGATGGTGGGAGGTGAAGGGAAAGTGTTGGTTTGGGCTGTGAATCTTTGGTCAAGCTGAGCTTTCTATTTAAAGAAGTAAGTTTCCTGAAGCAGAGGGACGATATGTGGCTTTCTTGGGCTTTTAAGAAACTTTTGTAACATGCTTCAAACAAAAAACATCTACTAGTTCCTGCGACTCTCTGGAGATAACCCCACGATATCCAGTCATTTCTATGGCAGCTACTGAGGTCTGTAGGGAGGAACCAGCCTTCCCTGCTCTGTGCATACCACCTCGGCTGCCTGGAGAAAGGAAGTAAATACTTCTTGCCTTCAGCAAGTAGGAAATGTCCCAAAGCATCTATTTTTACCCGGGAAAAGTTGACTTGCTACATTACAGTCGAAACAAAGAGTAATTAGCAATTCATTGAAAAGATACAAGAAAAGAAATCATACAAAGGGGAGTCCTTGCTGCTATCTCACTTTCCTGATTCTTTTACTTCCTATTTCTGGCTTTTCATTTTTGACTTTGCAGCTCAGCTTCCTTTTGGTGTTTCCCTTTGAATCTTTGCTTCTTGTATAGCATTGTGCTTACGGCTTTTTGTAAAGGAAGCCTGGGGAAAGGTTGGATCGTTCAGGAATGTATGGTAACATATTTTTAGTTTAGGGACTGCCTCTTGGAAATTAACAGCAAGGCTCATGCATTAAACCTTTCCAGAGTGAATGATACTCTTGTCTATCTAAAAGATACAATAAGCAAAGCCTGGGAGTATTGGCCTAATGAATAGACTGCTCCTAAGTATCAGCCACAGATTAATTGTGTATCATGAGGTACATCATTTCATGGTGATCTTTAACAGGTGGGGACAAAGTTAGATGCAACTTGGAGACCCCCTACATGAGCTGCTTTTTGCTTGAGAAGAGGGTTATTTGCAGAACTTAGGAAAATTGTGCTCAGAAGTATCCAATTCGCACGCTCGACCGATACCAAAGCAGTGGTTGCTCAGTTCCCTGTAAAGTGCTGAACCTAAGGGCTGAAACCTTTTCTGCTTCCAGAAAGAATACCAAATATTATATAAGTTGAGGTAATTATGATGTAAACTAGCACCAAGGCAATTTATACTGCAAATTAAAAAAAAAAAAGACTTTTTAGCATTGATCTGATCTGATCCAGAAAATCTTCAGCGTTTAAAGGATATTTATACTGCAAGTTAAATAGTGGTGCCAAATTTTCTACTGTTGATAGCTGGGGAAACTTCATTAACTCCTGTTGCACCAATTTTCAAGGGACCATTTTAGTTCAGGGCTTTACAGGACCAAGCTGTTCATTGGAAAGAAAAACTTAATGGATTCAACAGGTAAAACAACAAAGAAATGGTAAAACCAGAGGGAATGAACACTGGATTTATTTCATTACTTAATCAGTGGACAGTGTGGAAGGTCATATTTTCATTATTTCCTCCAGTGATACTCATGGATAAGCCAGACCTCTATCTGTTCATATTGTTTTCTTTCATTCCATGTATTTCTTGATCCATTGTAATAATTTACTTTGGCTTCTAGCTCCAAGCACAGAATACAGTTTCCATTTTCTTCCAAATAATATTGGCTTGTTGCTAGGGGAGTGTGCTGATTTCTTTTACGATTCCTTTTCCTCACCACATCTGCATGCAATTTTTTTATTTATCATCTCCCTAGCACATTTTCCCTGTGAGAAACTGAAATGTGAAACACAGCCCTTTCAGATCTTGTTTGGTGTTTTAAACAAGGAACATTTCCTAATTATATTTCTATAAAAGGATGTTAACAAGGTGATTTTGCTACCAGGCATAAATGCCTACGTGCATGCGTGGAAGGATCTGCACACTTTTCTATTATCTCCTCTGAGTGAGTAAGCAGGTATGAATTTAAAGGCAGGTATGAATTAACTGGGGAGGGTCTTCCTGCTCCTCGTTGCTCCCGACTAGCGTGCTGCACTAAGTAACCTGCTGCTTTGGGCTATTTCAGCCTTGCAAGCATATTTAGCCTGGGGGACTGAAACGGGTTCTGCCCTTAGCTGTGCTCCCTGGCCCTCTGTTAGCATTTAGTCTCTCCCTCCCATTGCGGGACTGCTCCATGGGGTTTATAGAGGCTCCTCAGCCACCACAGGTTACAGCCTGCTCTATTAGTGTAAACCGAGGTCGATTTTAGTTCGTGTTAATGCCAGATGAAATGGACGGTGGTTTATATTAGTCTGCTGAGCTGTGTACTCTGGGGCCGTCTTCACAGGGTTGGGTTTTTTTGGAAAACAGGCTTTTGCCATGTTGTGACTGTGATGGGGTCAGGGATAGCACATCCATTTCTAATTTATCTGCTTATTAGAACCTTGCACTTCTGTTCCTCTTTGGTTTTTAGTTGCGATCTTCCCTTCCATGCTTGAACTATTCCTTTCCCTTCCCAGAGGATAGTTGTGCGGCTGCTAAAATGAGGTTGTCTACTGCTATTAGTTGCTGTCATTTCATGGCTATCAATAGAGCTTTGTCAGTTTATACCAGTAAAGATTTCCACCCTAACGCTGTAATTTTTACACGGTATAGTCACTGACTGCAGTCCTGAGTTACACATAAAACCAGGTGTGAGCTAGTGCATTTAAACAACTGCCAGCTGACAACTATGATTAAAAGAATTGTATATTGTGTAACTATGTACTGTTTAAAATGGACGCATTATCTGCAAATATTTGCACGTGTTAAAAAGATTTCCTATCCTATCCTGTCCTGTCCTGTCCTGTCCTGTCCTGCACACGTTCTGATACTCACATATCCTAGAAGCAAACGAAGAGCCTACTGCAATGCAACACGCAGTGTGTTGGTCTTCTTCTCCTCCACACAAAAGAGATGAGCTAAGCATTTTATTTTGGATCTACCCACACATTTACACTCATGAAGAAAAGGCTTTCCTGGTCTCCTGCATTACCAGCACAGCCCTTCATTTTATTTGTCAGCCTCCTGGCAGTGTCCTCGGCCCACTGGAGTCGCAGGCGAGGTGGTCACGTACAAGTTTAGATCTTGATTCTGTTCCCACTAACACCGGTGGCAGCAACTTTTGATATTCAGAGGTGTATTTATGGTTAGCTCTATTCTTTTTTTTCTTTTCCTGGAGATCTTTCTTTAGAGCAGAAACTTCCATCTCTCTGGTGGCTCATCTGTTTTACTGAACTCTTAGGTTGTTTGCTGTTTCTTGTCAAGGCTCTGGCAGGGGGAATAAAGCCTGAGTGGTGGGGGGAAGGAAAACCGAGTCTTATTTTCTGTTTATTTACACTGGTTTCATTCAAAAGTAACATAAGGGCAGCCCATAGAGCTTGATGAGTAAAGAACTGGTGTAAATGGGAGGAGAATCAGTCCCTCCAGAGCCGTGTTTAGGCTGTGCTGACACTGCTGGTGACGGATGGGGGTTTCCCCCTTTGGTTGTGAGTGTCAGGGGCATCTCATGGATCATTTTCCTGAACTTCCTGCGGAAGATACTGCAAAATACTGGTTTCTGTCCGACCTGCTTCTAGTTCTAGCAATAATCTTTGAGTGAAATGTTTAACTCACCTCCACGGAAATACTGATTAAAAAGTACCATTTCAATGCAAGCAAGAAAAAACTCTACTAAAATATCTGAGCTTGTATGTTAGTTAAATGGCATAATCTTACGTTGTTCTTCAAAGTCACTGTCTGCTTCCCCTCGGAGCGCTATGCAAAGATTTATAAAAAAAAAAATTCTTTCAGCAACGATATAATTCAATGTGATTTTCCTCCCGGCTGCAGGAGCTCTGTTTGTAAAGCAGAGCTGTTCTATCAGCAGTATGCCCAGTGTCAGAGCAATCCCTGTCCTGAAGGAAGGTATGTAACCTACTGGGTTTTTTTTTTGGTTGTGTGTGGGTTTTTTTTTTTCTTTTGGCAGACGTCCTTGAGCATTTGAGACGGATGTGAGAGAGTTTTTAGTCCTCATGCAAAACAACCAACTAAACATAACAGATTACATCAGCTCAGGCTTTTCAATTCCTGGATGGCAGCAGAGTGCTAATCCAACCTTCATCCTGGATTTCATGAACTGAAACAAGGGAGGCTGGCAGGAGCCGCGCTGCCGGATTGAGGAAGCTGACGACGGTGCAGCATGTGGGCAACACACTGTATAAAGCTCATAAACTTGTAGGCTGATGTGCGCAGCTCCCACCTTGGATTCGATACCGCTGCCTCCCGCTGCACGAGGCGTCACGCTGAGCACTAAAACCCGCTCTTGGGGACGGAGCGCTTACCCCTGCAAGACATGAAGGGCTTCCTGTTTCTTTCCCTCCTCCTGCTGCCCGTGCACGCTGGAACTGCTTGGAGTGCAAAATACGCGGTAGATTGTCCCGAGCCCTGTGACAGTAACGCGTGCAAAAGTACCTTGCGCTGTAAGCGAACGGTGCTGGATGACTGTGGCTGCTGCAGAGTGTGTGCAGCTGCTCTGGGGGAGACTTGCTATCGTACAGTTTCGGGTATGGATGGTGTCAAGTGTGGTCCTGGGCTGAAGTGCCAGTTTTACACTGAGGAGGATGACTTTGGTGATGAATTTGGTATCTGCAAAGGTAACAATATTCACTTTGCATGCACCCACTGCGGCCGTTTGACAGCAGCCTACATATAGAGCTTGCCTCCTGCTTGAAAGGTCTAAAATGGGATTCTTCTAGCTCAGCCCTTAGGCAAGAAGAAAGTGAAAAATACCTGCTCGTATTAAAAGATGTGCCATGTAGATGGGACCAGGGTAATTAATGTGAGAATGTTGTTTAGACTTGGGGACGTCTATAAGGAAATATGAATGGGATTTTCTTGGAGATAAGATTTTTGATTGGGACTTTGGAGACCTGGGCGCTAGTCCTGATCCTTCCACGGATTTGGTGGGTGGCTGTGTATAAACTGCAAAGACCTTAATCCTGCAAGCCCAGCCTTATTGCTGGGTCCCTGCCGCTGCTGGGCTCCCCTTGGGGCTATGCGCAGATGTGGAGGGTCTCTCGGGCACTGCTGTTTGTCTGCCTGGGGAGCAGGAGCTGTCTCTGGGGTCTGTGAAATGGAGATAACAGCGCTGCCCGAGCTCCTGGGGACACTGCCGTATTTAATTCGTTCCTGCCTTTGAGGTGGTCAGCTACTCTAGGGATGTGGTCAGGGGGGCAAACAGAGACTCTCCTGCATGAAGAGCAGTAATAAAAGAACAGGAGCTGAATCTAAGATGAGCAGAGAGCCACTGCTTTCAGATCACACCAGGTATGCTGCATGCCCATTTCTTTAGTCATAGACCGTAACGGCATTTTTCAGTTAAGAGCGAGTCTCACCTTGTTAGGAAGGCGAATCTTTTAAAGGAGAGAAGGTATTACATTACAGAAAGGTAGGATTAAAATTTTCAAAATAAATAATTTAAAAAGACTTTGTAAAGTATGAATGCAGTGAGTTTTCCTGTGTTCGGGTAGCACTTCAGTAAGTAGGTACAGTTATGCCTCTGAATAACTTCCTTAAAAATGGAGAAGTCTCAACAGTTAAATAATAGAAGTATTAATAACTTCAGTTAAGAGAATGGCTTAGGGCCAGATGCTGCAAAAACCATTCAGGTTGACTCACATAGAAAACACATTTAGTTACATTGGCATATAAATCATACAAATTCATGTGCATGTTTGAGGGTGAAACCCAAAATACTCCCTTTTTTTTCCCTAAAGACTAGAATTATGTCTAAAAACCATGCAAACCATGCACACCCATCAGCAAAAAGTATGTTACTGAGTAAGCCGACCGACCTTCAGGTTATTAAAAATATTGCAGTGCAAGATATCAGCTATAATTCTCTTAATATTCCTTAAACAAGTATATACTTTTCACTGTACTCATAGGAATTTCTTTGCAACAGCATACTTACTTAAAATGGGAAAAAAGAAACACTAAGGGACGTGAGATCTGAATCTCTGTAGCTGAATCTCGGAAGCTCTGCAGAAAATATTAAGAAACTATAAAGTAAGATCTTTTTCCCAGTGAGTCAATGGGTAAACTCTCATTAATTTCAATAAAGTCATATCTTGACTTTGAGTTCTAAATTGATATTGAGGGCTTGTATTCTCCACAGATTTATTTACGCTAATTTTATAGCTCATTTTTCTATTTTTCTTTTTTATCTCAGCTCTGAGATAGTATAAGCTCTTTCTGTACATATGTGAATTTTATTAGGCAGAGTATGGAGCCAATATTGTTATTTTATCTATCTATATATAGATATGGTACCAAATCACCCATCTATTCCAATAACTTTCAAGTTTATACTAAATCATGGAGTAAGGATGGCTAGATTCTCTTCAATTGCATTTGACTGACTTGCTTTGAAGTTGTGGACAAATGACTTGAACTCTCTTGTTATTCTATTTCTTAATTCTGAAATGGGTAAAATATGCACAGCGTATGTTTCAGAGCAGTTTGCTGAGCAATAATTATTTCATGGCCTTGATGGTTCCTATCTAAAAAGTTTGAAAAGAGTGCATCATATTATAATGAATAGTACTGTTATTATTGTCCAAAACAGACTCAGGAAGACTGGTGCTCTGCACTTTTGTTGGGAAAATACTTCTTAACTTCAGGTGTTTCTGTCACACTGGGAATCTGCTCTCGATTCCCTTAAATCACATGGAGTTATTTGCTAATTTATGTAACATCAGCCTCCTTCTGAACATAACCCGCTAGCAGCAAAATGGACTCAGATCTCTCAGTTTCTTCAAACCTGAAGAGCACTGTCAAGTCCTGGATTATTCCCTCGTGGAACCAAGCGCTTTCGGACTTGGACTTGTTTTCCACTCTGTTCTGCGCAGCTTTGCGTCCCTGCTCTGTGCTGAGCAGCTGAGCACTCGCAGCCGCCAGATTAGCCGATGTGACAGTATCTGCTCCGTGCGCTGTGTGCTCCCAGCCTCGCTTGCCCCTGAGGGAGGACTGTGCACACAGAAACTGTTTTGTTTTGGCAGGATTTTGTTTCTGTTTTATGTGGACAAATGACAGAGCAAAGAGTGCCCGTGCTTGGGAAGGGGTGTGTGGTGAAGCTTGGTGAGGTGCTCCAGGCTGGAAGGATTCACGGGGCTGTCCCCAGGAGAGGATGGGCTGGTTTTCCAGAGCTTTTTGTGACCTCTTTAGAGGATATTCACTGTTTCAGCTGGAGCTATACTTGAGATCTTTGCTGTCTGCCATAGAAAGGCAGGCCTTTGCTGCAGGAGAAGTCTCTGCATGCTCTTCCCTAAGAACTGGCAACTGTTCTCCACCTTGCTTGACCCTGGCTTTTCGAGGCTGTGGGAGGCAGTTTGCCACCCTGGATAGCTCCTCGGGGCAGGAATTGGCAGCCACAATGGAGCCTATAGGAAGTGTCCATTTCGGTAAAACAGCCTCAGCGTTGTCAATAAATTGCAGCTCTAAATCGCTGAAGTCATGTAAGTCATACAAGAGCATGCCCAAATAGTGAGTTCAGAAACATTCTTCAGTAGTGCTCTTTTCTAAATCTGGTGCTAATTTGCTTAAACTAAAAAACAAAACTTCACCAGACACCGTCTGTAGTTTTAACTACATCCTCTATGATTATGTATTTATATATTCACATTGCCTTTAATTTGCATTTTAACACTACAAGTGTTTCAGAGAAAGATTACTCGCTAATCTTTCTCTGAAACACATTGTAAATAGCACATTGTAAATAACATTGCATTGCAACATATGCTGTAGGAGCACAAAGATGTATATAGTGTGTGGTAAGGAAAACTTATGCTTATTAAAACTGGAAAATACTTTGTAACAAAAGTTAGCATCCTGGAATCCTTTAATTCCGCTTAGAGGTTTTCCACTTTTAAGGATATATGCAGACCAGCTACTGAGAGAGCTCTTAGTTGACTTGGATCACTGAGGATTGCTTTGCTATATTACTTCCCAATGTGTCATCTTTCAGAGTGTCCCTACGGCACCTATGGAATGGAATGCAGGAAAACTTGCAATTGTCCGTCTGGCATCTGTGACAGAGTAACTGGGAAGTGCTTGAAGTTCCCGTTTTTTCAACTCTCTGCTTCAAAGCCTCCGAATCGACGAAAAATCATTTCACACACAGGTAAGACTTTGTGGGGCAGTTGATTTCAGCAGAAATCACCTTGTATGTGACCTATGAGCACACCGTGGATGCTGTGCATGAGTGGTGTGCACTTCAGTGGAGCTGTGCAAGTAGCTTACAGCACAAGGTACATTTATTTTTCTCATTGGCAGCTCCCCTAACGTAAGGCAAGGAATTAGGTGAGCTGTAACACATGATGAATAATGTGTTGAAATCCTAACATGGGGACAACAGTTTGTAGCAACCAGCTGTAGGAGGTCATTCGTGCAACAGGAGGGTGTGCTAAGATTTGCACTGGCCAGTTTAGGTGTATGCAGCTACTTTATCTAGAACAGAATTTCACTAGATGACACTTACCAACCAGTGTTAGCAAATATATAGTAAAAATGACATCTTCTTACTGTGAAGACAGGGCTTTATACATTTTCAGATGTCAGTGAGCTGTTTTATGAAATGATTTAGTTGAGTTATGTATGGAAGTATGTCTTCTGGAATATGTACTTATGTTTAAGATTATGCCTCAAGCTTGTAAAAGTTCCTTCCAGAATTAAAAAGAAAAGGAAAGTATGTGAAAAAACAGAGTATTTGGAAGCAGAAAGGGAGATCACTGAATTTTTTAAAGCTGAGGTTAAAATTTCTTCCTCTTTGATTCTCCACCTGATAATACTGAAGTACATTTAATTGAGCAATGCTAACCCTAAACTTAAACATCAATTAAAACGAATACGAATGTCAACATTTTAAATAAACATCAGAGATTTAATCCTAGCACTACTAGGAGCTTTTCTAGGATTTCACCCAAAAGTCTTTGAATTTTATTTCTCCTCCGGCTGCAATTTGTTTCCCTTGTTTTGATTTTCTACTGTTATATTAAGCTATCTAGAGTTTGTTGCCTTAATATATGGGTTATCTTGCTCCCATTCTTTATATAGAGAAGAACAGAAAGGAACAAACTGCTCATATCACATTAAAAATCATCTTTGAAAAAAACTTTGCAAGTTGGATCAGTTTTGTTCCTTTCTGATTTTTCTCTGTGGTTATGTTCTTTTGCCTTTCTAGGTTTGCTTAGTACCAAGGGTGCTGAAATAACATGAAAATATATTGCTGTCTTCCTTTTTTTCTTTTTTTTCTGCATTTACTATATATCCCCAGATGTTCCCAGGTAGCCCATTTTCATCAGTTCCTCCTCCACTTTCTCCCCCACGCTCTCCACTTTTGAGTCAAACCTTCTGCAGACTCAGTATTTAGCTAATTGTCTGAACCCAGCGATGGGGAAATCTTCACCCCAGAGAAACAAGTGGAATTTTTGCTATTACCAATGCAAAGATGAAACACCGTTTTCTGTCCCTCAGAAGTTCATCACTGGTAGTAGATGTAGGAATATTGTGTATGGTACGTCATCGGATGGTCACACGAGACTTCATTGACTAACGGTCTTCAGTGGCAGCTATATAATCTAGGACAGATCCTCAGCTAATTATAACAGCTGTGAATGCTTGTGTATTTTAATCAGGTGAGTTTCTGGCCCGTTTATTTTAGAAAGACACTATAGCTACATCTACCCTAGTAAATTAAGCAGTGCCAGAGAGTGTTCCTGCGTATTGCAGTTCGATCACCTTTACTGTCAGATTGCTGGACGGTGCCTGGCATGTTGGCATGGATGGTCCCAGGCCAACCGGCCTCTCTTCCCAGCAACCTCAGCCAGAGTTCAGGAATTAGAGTGAGCCATGGACTATTTCCAATGGACAAACTGAATATCTTTTACTTTCTTCTGGAGGGCAAGAGAGTTTAATGGCATGCATCAGGCTGTTCCATGCCAGCTGGCCTCCCTGAGAGAACGGCTCCAGGCATGTTTAATTTACTACCATAGGATCCACTGCTGTAGAGGTCCCTCCGAGGACGTGCTCTTTGGTCCCATGTCACAGTGGAGAGTCTGAGTCAGAGCTGGAAACTGAATGCAAATCACCTGCCTTGTGCTTAAACTATTAGAAAACATCTGTTCTATGCCATAATTTGGCAGATATTTTGCAACGAGATACCTGGAGGCATTCAGGTAGATTCATGTAAAATGGATTATCAACTAAGAGTTTACTGAAGCGTTCCCAAACCCAGAGAAGTAGCTGCAGGAAAACATTTTAGTTCTCTCATTTTCACAAAATCTACTTTCTCTTTTAAATTTTCAGAGAACGACATGGCATCAGGGGATGGCAATTCTGTAAAAGAGGAATTTGTTAAGGAGAAAGCAATTCGCTCTCCGGTAATGAAATGGCTAAATCCTCGCTGATATTTGCTTACACTAATAAGACTTTCAAGTGAATGCATTTCTCACAGATAACTGAATATGCAACAACACACTTTAACTAAGTAGATCTATAGCATACGAAAGTGTATCCTCTGAAGGCCAATTGTGATTCTGTTTTTCATGAGAAAAATGTTTACTTAAAAAATAGACTGTACAGTGTATATGATTTTTGATATTTGTTTTGATAAATATTTGAACATAGAAATGTATTGTGGATTGCTGAATGTATAGTAATATTAAAAAAACAATGACACAATTCAACCCTCCTCATTTAAGTAATGTCAAAGACAGACTCTTGCAGCTTCAGGCTAGGAAGGCTCTCGCTGAATTCAGTGGACGTTCTGAGTGAGTAAAACCATTGGTATGGAGCCAAAGAGAAAGAAGTGTACATCAACAAACCCCAGGATAGAAAGCAATGCCCCTGAGTCACACCGACAAGAATAATAATAATGTAGGAGCACAGTGGTGTGAATTAAATAAACCAGCATTAGTCATTAGTAATTTTCTGGGCTGTGGAAGTTTGGTAACAGTTCCTAGGAGAAAAATATGCCTTTTTCAGGGAGAAAAACCCCAGCATTTAAGTTTATATGTTGTGAATAACTCAGCTGAGACACTGTAAAAATATATTGTATTAGGTGGATATCTAATGTTAAATATGTTAAATATAGAGAAACAGATGCTTTGTAAATTATGCAGATTTTTAGAGGAGGACCTGAAACCACATAAGTTACTTAGCATTATTTAAATGTATATGTTTCTATAAAGCAGATATTTCAGTGCCATTACGGTGATGTCTGAGTGCATGGACCTACCTACATCCCAACTTTGTTGGCTGCAGCCCAGCACTGGCTCAAAGGATGGAGTTTATCTGACCAAATGTAGACTAGACATTGACTCACAGTTAGCTGATAGGGCAGCCAGACTCAACAGGACTTTGGTGCCCAGTCCTTCATTTCTTAGTTGCAGGTGCGAACAGTCCCATTTCAGCCAGCAACATAACCCGCAGGCACTAGAGAGTCATAGGAATTGCCGGTCCCTCTTTCAGTCCAGACTACGTTACCTATTTGAAACATAAAAATCCATCCTGAGATGGGCTTACTAATATGTTTGGAAACAATCAGATCCTCAGTTATTAGAAATTAATGTAATGGTATTGGAGTAAACCTGGACTGCATGTATTTAGGAACTGTCTCATAACGCAGAGTAGTCTCATTGGAAATGCAGCCTTATTGCCTTTGAAATCAATGTGAATTTTGACAGTGACGCTAGTGAAAGAAGGAGCTCACTACAGCAAGAGAAGTTTGATGCAGGATCTGGAAACATGCTTTACAATGCCAACAAAAGAAACTCTATGACATTTAAAGGGTCTAAATCCCAACCCCAAGCTAAGTTCAGTGCTGTATTAGAATAAAAAGAAAATGACTGCAGTAGACACTTCAGTATGGCAGTGCAGGTTCTCTGGCTACAATAATCAGAAAAAAATGAACATAAATCCCAAAGTAGCATGTATCGCATTTTAACCTTTATTGAATGTTTAGGTCCGAGGGAGAGGGATATAATATTTGGATATTTTCAAGCAAAGGTATTGATTCCCAACTATTGATATCAAAAGTAATTTCTTTCTTGATTTTAGCAAAAGCAGGATAAAACCCATGTCCTTTCAGCAGACTGAAAAGAATTATTTAAAGAATGTAAAAAATATTTGCATACATTACTGTTATTTTTCAACAGTGTCATAAGCGACATTATGGGTTTTTGAATGTAAATCTAATAAGCTGATTGGTTTTAAAAAGTATATGATTATTATTGTTCAATAAAAAACAACTGAAAGCATCACTGTCTATTATGTCTATCCATTCATAACAGACTAAGATTCCTGATGATGGCGTAGCCACTGTGCATGCAGTCAGGCAAAATCTTGCTCCCTAATCCATAGAAATGGGTTCAAAATGGCTGCAACTGTTTGAGTAAGTAAATTTGCTGAGGACCACTCTTTGTCACTGCAGCTGAGTGGTAGAGAATGACACATGTCCAGAATGGCCTGTTTCTGTCCTATCCAGCTGTCTTCACCTCCAAAACAAGGTGACTGGATCCAGACTACCTGCTAGGGTTGAGGATGGTCCCTGCTGGTGCCATCCTCTGAGTGGAGCCTGGGAAGGCTCTGGGAGTGCTCTCTCTGGCCAGGCACCGCCAGACCAGGGACTGCTCAGCTGCCTACACAGCCAAGGGCCCGTGTTTGTGACTCCCTGGCATGGTTTGATTTACTAGTATAGGAGTAACTTGTGGAGCTACATCTGGCAAATAAAGGGTGAAAGGAGAAGGAGGGGGAAACCTGCAAACATTTGGGGATGATTTCTTCCATTTTCCTTCAAACTTAGAGAATGCTTTTGCATTTCCTCAGCTGCCCTGTTGACAGATGGCTCCACACAAAATAGGTTCCAACATGAGATTATAGTGGAAGCAAATTGCATCCATCATCCTTTGAACATCTATCTGCTGCCATGGGTAGTGGCCATGGGATTACATTGGTAGAAGGAAGAACGTGAATGATGAAATGCTGTTCATGGAACCAAGGGTTGTTAAGCTGCCTCTTCTCTATTGTCCTTCCTTTCTTCTTTCTACTTACCCCTTCACATCTGTCCTGGACTCCCCTGTCCAACTCATTGTCCTTGTTTTGTCCATGTGGACTCTCTTTTCGACTTTTTTCCTTTCTTCACTTAATTCTGTGTGTTTCAGGTGTCTTCTTCTCAGCAGGCCCTGCCTCCTCCTAGCAAGCCATAAATCAGCCACAGATTCTCTTCTCTCCTAGAAGAAAAGTCCTGAGTGAGATGGTTCAATACACAGGGTGCTCCTGCCGCACTATTTATAGATTTTTTTCCATATATTAATTCCGATATGAACGTGTTTGTAAATGGCAAATAGGCCTCATTTCTAGTAGTCTTTATGTTCTCAGTTAGTAAGCGGTAAGCTATTAATATATGCACTACATCTTATTATATATTTAATATGTAAAGATACTGATAATAAGTATATTGTAATACAATATAATAGTTTCTATCATAGCCTGTATTATAGGACGTTGCAGACACCATTACAGTACAAACAATATATCATCATATGTCTGAAATGCACAGAGGAATAGAAAAGCCTGAAATGTATTCAAATATATTACATCCATGATTAAAATACTATAAAAGTTATATTGTAGACCAGCTTTTCATGACAACTTTATCAGCTTCAGCAGCGCAAAGCAGCTTCAATGTATTTTAATGTACAACTTCCTTGTATTAACACATTCACACAAGTATTGTGAGACATACCATAGCATAATCACCCTAATGTGATTAACAGCATACATTTGTCTCTGTGATCTGCTGAGACTTATGTATTAGTGCAAACGCACCAAAGTATATATTTTAACTGAAAAATGTATTTATTATCACCTCTGTGCACGCTTGATGATAGCTATTTAAATGGACTGTCAGGTCACAGCAGTGTTTGAAAGTATTTCCTGACACCTGCAAAGTTGGTAAATATTTCCTGTTTTTGTTGTGTCTGCTGAAAATAGTAATTTTACAAGTTGGAACTGACAAATTGACAGGCACCATGATCTCCAGTTTGGCAGGCCGTAGCGTTTCCATTGGTGTTTGTGACTGTCCAGGGGAACTTGGGCTGACTGCTGGGCACCTTCTGGCTTTCTTGCTCCCCCAGAACAGGCACCAACACAACTCAAGCGGAGTCAGTTGCGTATCTATGTCGTGGGAGGCCACAGACCACGCACAACCTGCCTGCCTGGCTTAATTTTTACACAACAGGTGATTATAGCAATTATATAGGTGTGAACAAAGCAAGACCTTGACTCTGAGAGCTGCGGCGTTCCCTCCTACCTCCCTGTAATGCCAGCGAGCTCTGCATTTGGCTCGTGCCCTGCTGGTGGAGGGGGGGTCACGGTGCTGCCCGGGGTGCCTTGGCTCCCTGGCGCGCTGGCAGGGTCTCAGCCAGCCTCCAGCCCTGGCAGGGCTGTGTGCAGCATGGCCACCTTGCAGCACCTGCAGGGCAGGCAAAACGCTCTCTGCAAACTAGCCAACCTGTGTTTGGATAAAGAAAAAGATAGAGATTTCCTTAAATTTATCAGTTCACTGTGCTCCTCACCCTCCCTGATCCCATCCTATCCACTGCCCTTCCAAAGTAGCTGCAACTCAGATTTATGTGCTGGCTCCGTCCTTACTTCTGAAAGCTATTAAGTAAATATTAAACTGAAATTAAGGACAACAGTTAATTATACATGAGCAGATCTTCACCATTCAAGTGAGACTTAGTCTAATTTTTCTTGAAACAATGTAACTCATGTAGCCTTTCTGCTGTCTGCAGACACCAAGCCTATGAGAGTGTCATTTGATAAACTGGGACAAGAGGAATCATATGAACATTACTTGAAAATGTCTTTCTTCCTCACAAGAGAAACATCTATTTTTGAAGAACAAATAATGGATTGGAATGCCATTGAAATCCAAACACAATATTAGTATGTTCCTGAAAAAAATAGGTACAATGCTGAGGGAGAATGCATGAGAGCCCTTGCAGCTGTGTCACACTTTCCTGTTTGTTATTTTTAGTTTTCTATTCCCGCTTTTTATTTTGGGCTTTGCTTTGCTTCCTATGCAGCTTCCCTTCAACTCTGCATAGCTCTTTCTTACATACTTCAGCAGGCATTTGGCTTTTTTTTCTTTCTTTCTTTTCTTTCTTTTTTTTTTTTTTCAAAGGAAACCCAAGCAATGCTGGCCAGTTTCAGGAACTCATGTTTCTCTTGGCAATGGTTGAGTTCTTGGTTTTCTAAAGGCATTTAGGAAATTTACATTGGTAGTTTTCAGCTTTGAACATGATAAGGCTTTATAAGCATAAGAAAATAACAGCACACAAGGAGAACGCAAATCTGCTATTCAGCGTGCCCCAGTCTTCTTTGTGCCTGGGAAACCATTGGTATCCAGTTTAGCATTAGTGTTCCAGAATACCATAAAAAAAAAAAAAGAAAAAGAATAAAATAGTCAAAACAGGACATTTAAGATATGACCTCTGGTAAAACACTGTATTATAGAGAGGGTAATTTTTTTTTCATATTCATATGTTGAAGTACTTGTGATCTTGTACAGACTTATACAGCTTATTTACAGAATAGGAAATAAACTCTTAAAACTTTCACAAATCTCATGTTGCTGAGTGTTTTCCTAGCACTCTAGGACTTATGTTCTCTGAATTAGTTAAGAACCTCAGCTGTTGTTTAAAAAAACAGAAATTTTTGGAACTTCCTTGTGGAGGAAGACTTGCAAGTGTGGACCCAGGGACTCAGAAATCAGTAGCCACATGTACAATCCAAAAAGTGTTTTAAAAAAGAAAAATGAAACCTTGAAGATTTTGAAACTAGCACCATGATTTTTGGGACTTGGCTCCCAACCGAAACTGAAAGCTTGGGGCTTATCATTATCACTAGATAATGATGCTGTCCAACGGTAAGTATAAAACCAGAGTACGTAGCAAAAAGGGTGAACAGTGAAAGCACCTGTTTCCCTCCGTAATCTTTCATCTCCCCGCTCTAAAAAGCCTCCTGGAGCTGCTGCAATTTGGCTGCTACTACTCAGAATGACAGAAGACAGAGGCTGGCTGCCGCTGGCTGGCCTGAGCTCATTCATACCAAACACTGCCAACCGCAGCACCTTAACATCATCACTTGGGGCTTGACATCCATAAAACTATGTTTAATGGAAACTCTGCA